GGGGGGACTCAAGCCCATTCCAGCAGGTAATGGCAAACCAGAAATTAAAAAAAAAATTTTTTTTGGTCAAATCAGGCTGGTGGGTTACAGTTAAAAAAAGACAAAAAAAACACTGTGCAGCTGTCCATCATGGTATGGTGCAGCAAAAAAGATGACAAGCAGCAAATGCAGCCTCTGTCTGCTCCGGACCACACCGTTTCACCTGTGCCCTAGGAGAGAGAGAGGGGACAGAGGACAGGAAGTCACTTCCACCTTGACCACTGCTTGTCTTTGTCTGTTAAAGGCACGTAAATCACGCCCATCAGTGGCTTCATTTTGGTACTGCCATCCTCCAATTTGTCATACTGCTCCAGCATCTGGTTCCCTCCTGCTGGCCCGACCGGCAGAATCAGACGCCCACCTGGCTTTAGCTGGTCCAGCAACTACAACACAAACAAACACACATACATGTGAAGATCCAGATACATGGTGAGTAAATGATGACAAAATTCTACTTTGTGAGTGAATTATTCCTTTAAAGATATGGCTTAAGGTACAAATATGGCTAGGCATCAAAGTGTATTTGGTGATTCAAAGAAAACATACTGCTTGTGGCACTGTGGGAGCTGCGGCTCCGACATGTATGGCGTCAAAAGGTGCTTCGTCCTCATAGCCCATTCTTCCATCTCCAACTGCACACATACAGACAACATTACAGGATAACACAGCTGTTCTGTTCTATTCCTATGGCCTGTCTCTGAATGTAAATTTGTCTCAATATAATATTGAACCGTTCTGTACGACATCCACGGTTCAATACGCGCTTGTGAATTGTGGTTTTTCGGTTTTGCATTTAAATAATATCGGTGTGTTTTATTTCTCTCAGAATTGGCTGTTTGTGTGTCGGTGAGTTCACGTGCTGAAATGAGGAAACCCCTCCCCTCTTAAATTTGAAAAAGCAACACATGCCGAGTATCTTCCCTTGTAATGACATGCAATAATAAGACTTTCTAAATCTGTTGTCCAGCAAAAGAGAACATTATAACTTGTTTAGTTTTTATTGTCCTTAAATTTCATCATTCAAAAACATTTAACGTTTCATCTTCTTTTAATTCAGTTACAGCGATAGCGATGCCTTTATCCATATTAGGGATTTCCTGGAACGCCATAAGTGTTACTTCTATGATGCATATGTGGATTTTCTGCACGAGGGCGCCCTCTGGAGTCCAGTATGAATGAAACACACATTACATGCGTTTATAGCGCTCAATAATGGCCGATCCATCCTATTTTGGGTAAAAATTGGAAAAATAATTCCTCTCTCAAAAGAAATGTTAAACAGAAATATAAAAATCCATGCTTTTTCCAGTGTACAGAGGTTTACAGGAGTTTTTTGTTTTTAATTTGTTGCAAAAAAACACTCTGATCAAGCTATCAGAAACAAACCCAACCGAAAACCGTGGTTAAAAACCGAGGTACGTATTGAAACGTGGACTAACTGTATTGTTGCATCCCTAATAAATGCATATAAATAGTATTGACTGTTGGCCAATCAAAATCAGCCAAAATTTTGCTGCATACCTAAAAAATGGATACATTATAAAACACAATTGTGAGAGACCAAAGATGGGTAAGCAGACCAACCATTGAGTTTGATTCTCCCTGAAGAGATCAAACTAGGATCGTCTTTCTTTACATTAGTTATAGAATCCTCCACAAGCTCCTTTATATGATCAATGCCAATCACCTTCCCCTTCGGCCCAACCTGTAAAACACCACAACACATCCACTGTAATGCACACACTCATCAAACTACTATGGAGGTCCAAACTGACAGAAGTAGGCTAAATTAGTGATTTTTCATTCAATGTAGCTCTGAATTAAAGGGATAGTTCACCCAAAAATCTGTACTCTGTACTAAAAAAATCTGTCATTAATCACTCACCCTCATGTCGTTCCAAACCTGTAAGGCCTTCTTTCGTTCATCTTCGGATATGTTGTTTATGTTCAGATCAAAACGTAAACAACATGTCCGCGTACATACATTGCATACGTTATTTATGCCTGTGATACTCTCAAAAATGCTCTGTACTAAAAAAATCTGTCATTAATCACTCACCCTCATGTCGTTCCAAACCTGTAAGGCCTTTCGTTCATCTTCAGATATGTTGTTTATGTTCAGATCAAAACGTAAACAACATGTCCGCGTACATACATTGCATACGTTATTTATGCCTGTGATACTCTCAAAAATAGCGCCAGGGTGACGCGGAGACGACGAATATGTCGAATAAAGTTGTTATTTTTGTTTTCTTTGCGCACAAAAAGTATTCTCATAGCTTCGTAAAATTACAGTTGAACCCCTGATGTCACATGGATTATTTTAACGATGTCCTTACTACGTTTCTGGACCTTGATCGTGTTAGGATCCTTGCTGTCTATGGGAGGGTCAGAGAGCTCTCGGAATTCATCAAAAATATCTTAATATGTGTTCCGAAGATGAACGAAGGTCTTACAGGTTTGGAAAGACACGGGGGCGAGTAATTAATGACAGAATTTTCATTTTTGGGTGAACTATCCCTTTAACTTAATTCAACATCCATATGCAATCATTTATTTTTACTTGAATTTATTTGAATTTATTTTTTTTTCCACTGCAGGAACTACATTTCAGAAACTACAAAGGAACTACTCATTTTTTGCATATAGAAACTTGGAGGTGCTGTAGCCTGTGATTGGTTGGATGGTTGGATGCTGAACAAACCAAAGAAAAGAAGAGTTCAGCTTCCATATGTAAACAGACCTGTTCTAGCTGTTACTCAGGGGATTGGGCTAATTTTATACCACTAAATATGGAGAGGCATTCCGACAAGTGGACAAACAGCTAGGTACAAGCCTTATTAAGCGTTTGCTCAATGGAGTAAATCCACAGAGATTAGGTCGTCAGTGCGATGACTGTGGTTTCAGCAACTGTCTTTTTAACTGAATAAGTTAAGCTGAACATTGACAATCTTTTTAAGTGTTTTTTAGGTACTAGCATCACAGATGCTAAAAAGATGAATGGTTTGAGTTTTACCCTTTGTGTGTACGTTTATTTATGGTGTGCAAAAGGTGCAATGATTGTCTGACAAATTTAGTTTATTGTTGCTTGTACAAATATTATAATAAAGCCAAGAAAGTACCAATCAATTTTGTACTTGTTTTTACTAATGTATCATGTGCAGAAACAATGTCAGAAAAAAAAACATGGTTAACACATTTTATGGCTCAGTACTGTATGTTACCACAGACATTGTCCAACCCCACTCGGTTCATTTGACTTGTGCAGCTCTTAAAATGGGTCATAAATTGCCTTACATTTATTTTTAAAAATTCTGCAGATACCCTGTAAATAGTGAAATAAAATTCCTTCCTTCATATTTGTTGATATTATTGAAAATATTTTTGATTGACATTTAAACTCCTATCTGATTTTCTATATTTAAAAAAAATGACTTTTTTTATTTGGGCTAGTTAAATTAATTTTCGGGCTACCAAAATCTGAAGAGTACCTGCCGGAAGGGCTACCAGGGATTTGGACATTTTGCGAGCCCCGAGTATTGTTCCTGCCACCGCCGCCGCCATGTCGTGGAGACACTGTGTGTTTTGTTGTGAAAGCGAAACTACAGTCCCACTTTATTTTAAGTGGCCTTAACTACTATGTACTTACATTTTAATTAATCATTTGGTACAAAGCACTTATTGTGTACATACATGTTTTTACATTGTACTTATATTTTAAAAATACCTGCATGTAATTACATCTGTAATTATATTTATAATTACACTGTTGACCCATCCCTAACACTTTAACCCACCCTTAATCCTACCCATACCACCAAACCTGTCCCTAACCTTAACCATATCCCACCTCAATAGCAGCAAAAGTGTTTTGCAATACAATATGAACACAACAAGTACATTGTACTTATTTATTTGATGTAAGTACATAGTAGTTAAGGCCACTTAATATAAAGTGGGACCAAAACTACTTTGTTTGACCTTCCAAAAGAGGACATGACTAGAAATCAGTGGTTAAGTTGTATTTACAACACTGTTCCAGAACACTTCAACCCAAATATTCAGATGTGTGCAGAGTATTTTATGGAGGACTGTTTCCTGATCCTGGGAGAGTAGACTACAATGAGTCTGTGCACAAAGGCTGTTTCTATAAAGTGGGGCAGATCCTCGCAAATTAAAACCGGCATAAACACATTGCATTACACCAAATACACAACATAATGTTCTTTTTAGCAGCATCATATGACCCCTTTATAAAACTAGTTTGATTAACTATCAGTTGAACAAGTGTCATACTTGTCTTACTGTCTTACCAACTGATCAGTTTTACTTTTTGGATTCAAGTTAGACCAATCTACCTTTTCATGCAACTGACTTTAAAAAGTTATGACCAGTCTTAAAGAAAAAAAAAAGATAGATGACTAACTTTTAAGTCTCAGCAGTTTATGCAACCTGCCACAGGGCTAAATTCTGTGAAAACTGAAAAAATTTAGGTCTGCCCACATGTTCATTTATATTTGCTCCTCCGTATCAGACACACTGTTTAACTGTTCTAACGTACAACAGTAATTCATACGTCATAACTGTTTGCATGCCATTGCTCTACATTTAATACGATAGAACTGTGAAAATCCTTAGCAATCCCATGTTTGCGACTGGCAGTGAAGAGACTCACCATTCTGGCAAAGCAGACGGACAGGATTCCGGAGCCTGACCCCACATCCAGAGCCTTCGCTCCTTCATACAGGTGATCATGGAGGAGCTCTAGAGCATACGCGTGCTACAGCACACAGATGAGCGTTCATCAGCGCCTACCTCAAACAGGCCAGTAACTGCTATCCCAAATGCTGCTAAAGCAGTTTTAACTTACCATATGTGGTGCACTGATTGTTGCTTGGTAACCTGCACAAAATTACAAAAAAAGACTTTCATCCCAAAGAGAAAACACAACAACAGAATCACCAGAATTCGGCATTGTGTCTAACATTGTGTCTACATTGGAACCAGAAGACATCACTTTGCTTTGCTATCGCCTTAAAGGGGTCATATGATGCGATTTCAAGTTTTCCTTTCTCTTTGGAGTGTTACAAGCTCTTGGTGCATAAAGAAGATCTGTAAAGTTGCAAAGACTCAAATCCAAAGAGATATTCTTTATAAAAGAGTCAGCCACACCAACCTAAAATGGCACGTCTAACATGCCCCCACGTCTACGTCACGATGTGGGAAGATTTGCATTTAGCCACCCAAATGTTCACGCAAAGAAAGAAGGCGTAACTTTTATTCTCGCTGTAGTATTGTTGCTGCCGCCGCCATGTCATGAAGGCGCTGTGTTTTGTTGTGAAAGCGAAACTACTTTGTTTGGGCTTCCAAAAGAGGACGATATCTGCTTCGTCATGCCTGGAGCTGATCCGTGCTGGTCGCTGAGGGAATACATCAACTTTGCGCTGTGGATCGCCGGATCGGCTTTCACCGTGGACGAAGCAGAGTCCAGCCCGGAGTCATCACACGTGGTTGCTGCAAGCCCGCTGGACACTCCTTTGTCGAATCCGCCAGCCACGCCGGTCTCAAACCCGCTCACCTCTGCTCACTCAAGCCTGCCGTGTGTGACGCTGTGTTTCGTTGTGAAAGCGAAACTACTTTGTTTGGTCTTCCAAAAGAGGACACGACTAGAAATCAGTGGTTAAGTTGTATTTACAACACTGTTCCAGAACACTTCAACCCAAATATTCAGATGTGTGCAGCACATTTTATGGAGGACTGTTTCCTCGCATAAACATTTCATTACACCAAATACACAAAATAATGATCTTTTTAGCAACATCATATGACCCCTTTAAAGATGTCTACACTGGATAGAAGAGGATGTACCTTGGATGTCAGTTCGAGACTATTCCAATTAATTAATCAAATCCTTTTGTTTCAGACAGACAGGGAAAATAAAGTGGCTGGTGTAGCCGTGCAGAGCAGGAAAAACAGAAACCAGGAATTTTGTGTCACACAATTAATTAATTTTGTGGAAACAAATTAATAACTCTGGACTGGAGCTTACCTATAGATTGTGGCGAGTCCATGTATGGGTTACATCTGGAAAAGTGGGCACGGTCTGTGGCCAACATAACTTCATACACGCGGTCTGATTTAATGATCCCATTTTCTGGACAAAACACACAAACGCATTCAAACTGATGGCTTAATACCATTGTAATATACATACAATACATTAAATATATAATGTACACACTTTTCTAATATCAGTTCCAAGAGAACCGTTACTGGGAACCCTATTTGCAGCTTCACAACACTTGTTCATTGTATGAAAAAGAGCAGTGTGAATATTCTTCAAAATACCGCCTTTTGTGCTCTAAAGAAGAAAGTTCTTAATCTGTTTCTGTTTTGTCAGTCAATCATTCATTTACATCTATGCATTTGGCAGACAGTTTATCCAAAATGACACTGCATTTCTTCTCAGTTAATGCTTTTCCTGGGAAATTCTGCTAGTGCCATGCTCTACTTACTGAGCACAAAATGCATGTATGTATATATATATATATATAGTAGTATATATATTAGGGCTGCCCCCTAATAGTCGACTAATCGTTAGTCGACCAAAATTTTTTAGTCGCAGAAAAAAAAATCCACATTGGCAAAGTCACGCAGATCGTTAACGGCTGATCTATGGTAATACAGCAGGCTACATCCGGCAGGACATCCAAACACTCGCCTATCAATCATCCACCACAAATATGGCTTATCATATGAAATATGTAAGTATTAGCAACTTCATACAATACATTAAATATATAATGTACACACTTTTCTAATATCAGTTCCAAGAGAACCGTTACTGGGAACCCTATTTGCAGCTTCACAACACTTGTTCATTGTATGAAAAAGAGCAGTGTGAATATTCTTCAAAATACCGCCTTTTGTGCTCTAAACAAGAAGGTTCTTAATCTGTTTCTGTTTTGTCAGTCAACCATTCATTTACATCTATGCATTTGGCAGACAGTTTATCCAAAATGACACTGCATTTCTTCTCAGTTAATGCTTTTCCTGGGAAATTCTGCTAGTGCCATGCTCTACTTACTGAGCACAAAATGCATGTATGTATATATATATATATATAGTAGTATATATATTAGGGCTGCCCCCTAATAGTCGACTAATCGTTAGTCGACCAAAATTTTTTAGTCGCAGAAAAAAAAATCCACATTGGCAAAGTCACGCAGATCGTTAACGGCTGATCTATGGTAATACAGCAGGCTACATCCGGCAGGACATCCAAACACTCGCCTATCAATCATCCACCACAAATATGGCTTATCATATGAAATATGTAAGTATTAGCAACTTTACATGGCCGCTCAATCTAATGTTAACCTAGAGAAATATGTGCTATATTCTGTGTGGAAGCTGAACAGTAGCTCACTGTAGGACAGATGGAGGCGCCGGTGCGCTCACTTGCTCTTAAAATAGGCTACTCCGTAATTTTTTGTCATACAGATAAGAGTAATAGGCTACATCTTTCAAATCTGTAAAGACTCCATGTTTATTTGTGTGCACTCACAATAACAACAAAACGTGCTTTTGTAAAATAATGAAAGCAAACATGATGCACTTTCTGCCATCTCGGTCTGTGAACTCGAGCGCGAAACTCCGTGTATATCTTTGCCTTACAGACATTAAACTATATCTATAGAGAGTGAAATGTCTACTTTCAAATGACTCAATTTAAATGGAAAACAAATATTCTCAGATTATGTAATCCGTGTGAAACATGCACAGGCGCATCACTACTGCGGAGAGTCAGTGTCACCGACTTCATCTCTTAAACCAAACAAAGAAAGCACTTGTTTATCAGTGAATTATTACAATTTTAATGCAGCCTCCTTACTGGTTTTCCCTGACACATTCATAATCATAGCTTCTGCCGGTGTGCTGTGGCAAGCTTTATGCGTGTGCTTGAGCGCTTATTAGGCTTTGTAGGCAATTAAAGGCTCATTATAATGATTTAAATGGTTTATTAATAAATGTGCGATTAGTCGACTAATGCTTATAATGAACGACTACTAGTCGACCAGAAAAATACTTACTCGAGGACAGCCCTAATATAAATATATATATATAGTAGTGCTGTTAATTTTTCCAAGTTTAACAGCGTTTTATTTCAGACAGACAGGGAATACATACATAGCTATATATTAGGTGTGTAACGGTACACGTATTTGCACCGGAAATTTCTGGCACAGGTCTTTCGGTTCGGTACGCATGTGTACCAAACAAATTGTTCAATTTTTCAGGAAATCCAGACAATAAATGCCGTTTTGGTGCTCTTTGATGTGGCGCGACATATCGCCGTATACTAACGCCAGTTCTAACAGCAGCGCGGAGTGAGCGTGATCATCCCTTCCTCTTTATTACTAGTTTTACACGAAATAAACATGAATGAACATCACATAATTTATCAATTAGTGTTTCAACCACGGAAAAACGTCATTAAAACAGCTTGTAAACAAAAGGTCACGTATCATTTCATTTACCTCAGACTAGCCATGAGTGTAGACCTACAGCTTGTCATCTGCTAGAAAAAGTCTAGTGAAGAGCATTTTGCAAAATATTATACTATACTTCATTATATTTACTTTACCTGTTAGTGATGTCTTAATTATTTAATGTATGTGTTTAAATAAATATTTTATGAAACAAGTTTTGACTCTGTAAATTATTATTTCAACAACAAATAGAAATTGTATAATTTAGATGTTTGCATGTTCGCGAACTATTTTTTAATTTGAGTGTTTATTATAGTTAAAAATAAATAGTTAAAGAGCAATTTGTTCAGTAAACCATTGTTAAATTAAAAAAAAAAATATATATATATATATTTTTTTTTTCCTCCTGCTGTACCGAAACCATACCGAACCGTGACGGCAAAACCGAGGTACGTACCAAACCGTCGTGTTTGTGTACCATTACACCCCTAATATATATATACTGTATATATATTAGGGATGCTCGGATCGATCGGTATCGGCCGATAATCACATTTTATGACTCACTAACTTGGCCGATCTCATGAACCGATCGCAATTTGATGACTTCAACGCGTGACGACGTACATGAAGCATGGGGACATTAATGATTTGGCGCTGCAGTCATGTCATGGCTGGTGTGGAAATGCTATGACGTTTCGAGAAACAATGAAAAATTCGCTATTTGTCGTGTGTTTTACATGATGATATGATGAATAACATGATAATGATGTAGTTTTGGATTTTGTTTTCCCTTAATAATAAAAACCTTCATTTAAAAACTGCATGTTGTGTTTACTTGTGTTATCTTTGACTAATATTTAAATTTGTTTGATGATCTGAAACATTAAAGTGTGACAAACATGTAAAAAAATAAGAAATCAGGAAGGGGGCCAACACTTTTTTAATATATATATTCTGAACCCCATGTGGATTTACACAAACTGAGAAAGTCAAAAAGTGTTACTTTGTGCCCCGCTCTCCCCTACCTCTGTAAATAAATACAATATAAATTCACGTCTCGTGCACTTTAACGGCCTTTGAATGTAACGTGTACATTCCCTTGGAACTGGAATCATGGTGGAATTTCATGTGAAGTCCACTTCGCAGGGCACTTATGGTTGAATAAGACAACGCGTGAATGCTGCCTGAACAAGAGACCTCCTTACTGAAGGGAAAGTGTTGACTGGTGTCACTATCTCACGAACGCGCCGGCGGATCTCCACCAAATTCGGGGGATCCCTTCAGCTCGAGGAGCCCTCTCGAACGCCACCCTCCGCGCATCGGTAGCCCCCGGGATCACTAGATCTGTCGGCGCCGGACCGCGAGTTTAACCACCCGTAACTCCCGAACCCCGGGGGCTATCAACGCGGGG